TGGTGCAAATCGATGATATATGTGTCCCCAATACACTTATAATATTTATGTGTTCTAAAATCATATAAGGATGTTGTATTTGTTATCTGGATTAATTACATGAAATGGAAGTCTATTATTTGCTTTGATTCAACATAAAGATAACCATATCAGTGAAACAAATTGAGGTCTTTTGAATCTGAATTAAGGACACACCTTGTGCCTTTGTTACAATAGTGTAAATTGTAACCTGAGATATAAGAAGGGCAGGTCAGTGATAATGACCATATTAACTGACCATAAACTGTCCTGGGGACACAATAAACAGATAAACCTGGTTTAAGACAGGTCTAAAATCTTTATCTTGAGATTATAATTTGTGAGATTTGAAATGAATTAATTAAGGATCGTCTTCAACTGTGATTGTGTTTGGTATGTAACTTTCACTGGAGTAAGAAATTGTAATAGATTTGTGCTATTAAAGGTCTTGTGTTGAAACTTGTAATTTCTGTGTAAGGTTGTGGTGAGGTATTTTTAATGCTGAAATTTGTTTTAGGAAAAAAGGGTCTTTTATTCAAAAATTACTGGAAATATATAACGGAAGTTGTGTTAGAATTTGTACTGTAAGTTATTATTCTTTTTAAAATTATAAATAGTGTGCAGCAAATGAAAAGAGAAAGTGGAGTATAGTGTACAGAAAAATGCAATATTGCCTTGATAAACCCTGATATTATTTTTAGGGATATATGATGGTTTATTTCAATAGGAATTTTATGTTTGTGTTTGAGTATTTTTTTTGAAAGTAAGATATATTGTATTTCTGTAGTCAACATATGTTCAGATTTAGTCAAAGCTTAGTATACTAATCTATCATATCAAATTCATAGTACTGTAAGGTGATACAGGACTTAAACATAGTACATACTTACTCTACAAAGATTGACTTTGATCAGGTTATAATCTATACAATGTTTTAACTTGGTGTGTGATCACTCATTAATGTTGTTAATTAACCAGAAAAATGTTAGTACACAAATTCTTCTCTTTTGAACTTGAAGAGCTAGCATTATAGTTCGTATTGTTTAGTTTTCTGAAGATATCCAGCACATATATTGTTATTTTGTTTGAGGTCCTTTAAATATCTATATGGTATGTTACAAATACAAATGTTTTAATGTTTTCACAGATTCTTTACAACTGATTTTTGTAGAGTTATTACTCAATTTTACAAAATCTTTGAAATAAGATAGTGTGTTCTGGAAGGACTAAAGGTCTCTACCTGTAATGTTTTGGTAATCTGACTATGTGATAATGGTGATTGTTTGTCATATATTAAATTCCTAGAACAGCATCTTTAAAAGTGATCAACTGGTTGGTTTTGTGAAGAAATTTCATTTGGGATAGTGTGTTCTTGAGGGTGTAAGGTCTATACCAGTAATGTTTTAGTAATTCAGTAATGTTTTAGTAATTCAGTAATGTTTTTGTAATCTGACTAGTTAGTTATTGTGATAAGAAATGAAGCTAGTATTAACAATGGTACCGTGACTAATAGGTATCTATGATGTATGTTAATACAGGTCAATGTTTATTTGTATCAGTAATTGACATGGTACCACTAACAGGTGCCCTTTTATATAGTCTGTTTGTTGATACTGTCTGACCCAGCATCTTCCTTCTGTTACTCATACCCTGGAGAAATCTTACTTCAAGGATGGTCTCTGTTTGATATTCAAATGATTTGATGCTTCCGGAAGGTCAAATAGACAAGAAATGTTTGAGTCTCTCTTATGCTTGAACAGACAGTCATTTTTAGTCAAATATTATAAATTTTTATATAAAATGTGTCTTTTTGAAATGGGATTTGTTATGAACCCTTGGTCCTTATATGTTTATTTTTCAATACAGTGTGAACATAAGTATCATTGAACACATCGTAGTTTGCATTTAAGATTGGGTTTATGCAGCTGATTTTGTCAGCAATGGTTCACATGCAGTGCTAGTAAATACCTGTACTTGGAATTCTAAAAAGTTGAAAGTAATAGTAAGATTTTGACCATGTGAGAATTAGAACTATGTGTTAGTTATGGTAAAGGATACATGTCAATTGGTATAAAATGTGAGAGAATGTGATATAGAATGTGATACCAGGTGTTAATAACTAGAGTCAAGGTAGTTGACTTCAGATCTCAATAGTTTATCAATAACACATTATTCTTTTATAGTCTAGTTTTAAAGGGCTTGAATAGAAATGCTGTGGCATGTTACATTCATATCAGTGTTTCATGTCTTTGAAAATTTTTAAAGTTTGAAATTCAAGGCTTCATTAGCAGTGTAAGTGTTCTCTGTCCAAAACTTGTAGTTTGAAATTACCAAAATTCAGTAGTGGGATTAACACATTATATATATTATTATGGGATTTTATTTATTTAGAATAAAAGGTTAAATTAATTTTGTGGAAAAGCTGTTTTTGACCTCTACATGGAAAGACATGCTAGTAGCCCTAATCCCCTTTACAATCTCTTTAATACATTGATTTCTACATAACTCTACAGATCTGAATCATACCTCACAGTCAAATATTGATGTGCTGTGTGCATAGTCATCATATTTTAAACAGATGTTCCTTTAAAAACCAATACTTCTACTTCTTAGTGACTTTTACTTTGTGGATTAGTTAAATACTGTGATTTTGATTTGAGGACTTAGTAATTTCTGGATTTCTTATTGGGAAAACAAGGAATTAATGTGAAACATTTATGTGAATGTTGATGCTATAAAAGAGTTTTCAGACTCAGTGTAAGGAAGCGATGGAATTAAGAGGATTATCTACCCTTGGATTATCAGATGGATTTCGTTGAATATGATGAGTAAGATAATTTTTTTTTTTCTTCTTTATTTACACCTTATTATGTTCTTTCATTTCTTACCTAACTTTTAATTCCATTTATTTCATTTCATATTTTCATTGCCTATTCATACAGGTTAATGCCACTGCCTGGCAAAATTTCCCTCATTGCAGCCTGCATGGCGTTGCCCTTCTTCATTAGAACACATGGTGCAGAAAACTCATTTCATTTTATTGCCTTTTCATAAGGTTTAAAACTTATGGCCATGTCACACATTGACAATTAGGCAAATGTATACCCAGCATAAATACGCTGACCCTAGATGTAAAATCCGTAATAACTATTAGTAAATAGTCTGAAAACATGATAGAAGTAAGAGTACAGGCCTGTATAGGTGGTGATGAGGTCAGGTGTATTTATTTAACAAGATGTCAGTAGTTTGAATAACTTGCTGGTCAATATGACAAGTTTATGTTGTTTGAGTCCAGTCTTTATTAGTTAATTATCTCCTGGTATTTAAACAATCTACCTAATCTATACGGTTGATACACTGGGATTTCTCAAGTAACATGCTATAGACACCCTGTTTCTTCTTTGCTAACTGTTAAATTTAAACTAATCAGAATACAAAAAAAAACAACTTCATTTCAATTCTAAAACCAGAACATGTGAAGCAAATATATCCTTACATTTGTTATATTGTAAGAACAAGTGCAACAAATAATTTATATTTAAAAAATGGAAAACATATTCATCATTATAAAACTTTCATTATATTATAAATAACTTACTACTATTTATTGTGGTAAATTTTTCTTTTGACACTTGTGAAATGAATTGATAATCCAAATCACTTATAAAAAATTCTAACATATTCTGTTAACTTAATATTCTGTGCATAAGGTCTAACAACTCATTCATTCACACCCCACCTGAAAGTCAAGAATATTTTATGATATCAATGCCAAAGTGGATTTGGACAAATTCTACAGGTGTGGTATTGGATGGTTGACTGGTAGGTAGAATACAAGTCAATGTCTATCTCTAGCTCTAAACAGATACAGTAGACTAAAAAGGGGTAATAATATCACAGGAAATTTGTTCTGCTAGAGTAGGGGTTATAACTTGTATACATGTTCTTGATAAACCTAATGTTAGTGGATATTTGAGATTTTTTAAGTACATGCTACCTTTGTAACATTATAAATCATATTTTAAATTATAATACTATATAGATATTTGAATGCATGATATAAAGAAAACTAGTGAGCAGAAAATTAGAAACTCCAGGCTTTTCTATACATTGATTATCATTTTTTATTCAATCATTTTTTATTATGACTGACTATTTTTCTGGATGAGTGAACTTAAAAACCTACTTGAAATTACCTTGTTTAGCCGAGTATAGGTTGAGGGTCGAATAAAGTATGAAACTGGATCCTGAAGTACTCTCAAAGGGTGGGTAATGTTTGATTACACGAGGGTTACAGTCAGCTGACTGGAGATCTGCTAGAAAAAAATTCTGATTTGGAAATAATGTATGTGGATAAGTTTATAAAATATAACCTTTTTGGTAACCTCAGTCTTTCTCAGAATAAAACTTTTCAATCAACCCTCAGTATTATATATAGGTATTCTATTCTGTTTTATCCTTGTATGATCCTAATCATGCTTTCAAGTACAAAACTTTAAAAATATATTTAGACAGGGTTAAATATCAGTTTACATTTACATTACAAAGATAACTTAAAAATATTATGAACTTATTTGACTTTATAAAATCAAGTTTCAGTTCAACAAGCAACAATATAATTCTATCACTTAAACATACACTTAAAACATTCATACAAACTTACATCACAAATCGTACAACCTATACTTGATTGGATATTTGAGCTATGCTTCTGGACATGTCCGGAAAATTGAGGCAAATCTTTAGCACTGGTAAAACCTTAAAGTATAACTTTTTCAATCAGATATTGAAACCAGGAATAAAATTATACCACAGATTAAACTAATACCACTTTCATGAAAAAAAGGTTGCTTGAAGACCTATAGATGTGAAAGGACCATTTTTTTCAAAAAATCTTAAGTTGCAGAAAACAGTGTAATGCTGTGATAATGTTGTATTCACAGATCTGGTTATGTTATATCAGGTATATATTTATATTTCAGGCTGGAAAAAGAATATACAGCTTTAAAAAGTAAAGAAAATGAAGAACAGATAGAACTGAGGGTAAATATTGATATAGTATAGATATTCTCCTGTCAAATCATCATTAAAACTAAGTCAACATAAATATAGCTAGCTCAAGGCTTGCACCTATGACGCTTCCACAGAGGGAGCATTTTGATTCTCCACCTTAACAGTTGTCCCCCTTTATTGGTTTTATAAGTATTAAGTATGTATGAGGCTGATATTTGATTTTTTATTTGATATTTGATATTTGATTTGATAAGTAATAACTTATTAATACTATTATTACAGAGATTACGTACAGAGAATAATTTACTCAGACAGAGAATTGAGTGTCTGGAAAAGGTAAGTTATTAAAACATCAACCTATTGATATTGGATCATTATCATTCTGATATTGTGACAATTTGTATAGATTCAGTTAGCTGCTAAAATCTAATATGTTGGAATTTAGCAGGTAGTTCTAAACATTTTTATTTTAAAATGAAATTAAGCTCATGCATATGTATAAAGAATTTTTTTCGAGAATATTAGACTGAATTTATAGTTTCATCTTCTAAATATCACAGTTTTAGGAGAGTTTTCAAAGTGTTCCTTCAAATGGGAAAACTTTTGCTCTGTAATATAGAAGAATGGTTAATGAGTATTTGTAAATATAACTAATAATAAAGTGATATCTATATATTTACAGGAATCAGCTTCACTAGCTGATAGATTAATACAAGATCAAGTTAATAGAGCCCAGGAAGCAGAAATTACTTACGCTTTAAAAAACGAACTAGCTATGACCAAACAGAAACTGTGTGATTTAACCAAGAAATATGAAGAAGCTGATGTTTTAATTTGTGAAGTCAAGGAAAGAGTATGTACTGGTATCTAGATCAATATTATGAAAATTTTCCCATTTCCCAGTCAGACCTTTGTGACTCATGACAAAGGCCTTTTTTCAAATCTTGGTAGCTTACAATTAGACAATTAGTTAGATGTCTAATATATAATATATACATGAGATCAAATGCTACTGGAGTATCAGCAAATATTTGATTTACTGGTCTTACATTTGAAAATTAGTTGATTTTGTCGCTTAGTAAGCCAATTGGATTGTCATCTGCTCAAAGAAAGAAATTCTGACACCAAGGCCAGTATTTCAGAAAGCCATAGGTATATCCACTATGAAGTATATTGTATTGTATCTTGTAGACTAGTTCGTATGAGAATGCCTGTAACCTAACAGAAGATGCTGCTACAACTCTAATACAACAGTTACAAGAAGAACTGATAGCTGTCAGATTACGAGAAACTGAAACCAATACTCTTATTAAAGAATTAAAACTTAAAATATCAGAATTAGAAGATGTAAGTTTTAAATTCTTAGAATGATGCTGGCATATTGTTGTGATATTTTGTTTAACACTGAATTGATTGTCAAATGGAGATTTAGAACAATATCAGTGAGATGCCTAACATAAAATGTGTAGCCTATTTGTTTAGGGCTTTTGAATTTGGCATCATTAGCCTGACAACAAAATGCTTATTGCCTGTGCTAGAAAATCTGTTGATAGTAACTGGGGTTCCAGATATAAATTGGTATATATGTATCCTAAAATATTTGTATTTAAAGCACACAGAATTTCCCCAAACAAATGTTTGTGAATTCTAACAGGTTTGATTTGTGTTTTTAAGTATATATTGATAATTTCAGACTAATCTGATGTTACAGCGAGCTCCTAGTAATGATATACAACAACTACAGGAAGAATTAATAGCTGTAAAATTACGAGAGGCAGAGGCTAATTTATCTTTAAAAGAATTAAGACAAAGAGTTATTGAACTTGAATCATATTGGGAGGTATATAATATACATTTAAGTAATCTAAGTTAAAAATATTAAAACAGAACTTGAAACATGTTGTTACTCATACTCAGAGTTGTATGCTGTGTGATTTTCAGACAACTATTTCAGCTTGTGTCACAAGTTTTACAAGTAGTACATGTTCTTGTTTCCACTCGTATTGTTTTTATTTTAGATATATAAGCTAGATTGATACATTTATTTTAAAATAAATCCATAAGCATGTGTAAAATCATTTAATTGGACTGATGTAATATTTCAGTCTCATATGGAACGTATGCAATCATTAAATTCACCGAAAGAGAAATCAAGTAAACAAGAAGTAAGACAGTTACAAGAAGAAACTATGACCATTAAATTACGTGAAGCTCAGACTTTAGTTAACCTAAAAGAAATGAAACAAAAAGTCATGGAACTTGAAACTCAGGTAGGCTTACTATAAATTTGTAAGAATGCAAAAAATGGTACTAGAAATATGGTTTTCCTAGATCCTAGTTTTTTCTTAGAAGAAATGCATATTGTTGTATCATCATTACTTGTATATGATTAAAATCTTCACATTTTTGATTGGATTGCAAAAGTATTTTTATGTGTGTCAGAATTATCTACCTTGAATAGCGAGTGTATTGTACCTGACTTAGGTTTTTCAAAAACATAAAGATAAAGATTTAAAGGAGCCTTTATCTAAATATCAAAATTCAATTTAATAAATTGATAAAGAAATAAAAGGTAGCCCTAATGTTATATTATAAAGTTGGTATTAAAATTCAAATTAAAAAGAGTGATCCAGCCTTCCTTTAGAAAGATGTTTACAGTGTCTTGTATTGATATTTAGAGTTTGTCTTCAATTTTTGCTTTAAGAGTTATTATTTACTATAGTAGTAACAGACAATAGGTCAAATCATTAAATTAACATTATCTGTATTACAGAATCAAATCTGTACGAATCAAATGAGAAGAATGGGAGACGAGAATAAAAGTATAAAAACTGAGATGGAAGCTGTGGCTGAACATGAGAAAGATTTAAATAATACAATAAAAGATTTAAAACGTAAAATAGATGATTTGGAATCTCAGGTACGTGAATATTAATGCAGTGGTGTATATACCAATAATAACTATAATCCTCAACAACATTCAGGGAAACACAATTTAATAGTATACTACTCACCTGATGATGACAATGTAATTTGTTGAAACATTGTGTACAATAAAGGAATAGTATATCATAAAACTGTATTCTGTTATTTAATGTGATTTCTACCTATAAATGTCTGATGTGTATTATTATAGTCTGTATCATATTTTACAGAAACGTGAAGAATCTATGATGTTTAGAATAAGAGAGGCAGAGAAAGATCAGATGTTAGGAAGTTTAAAACAGACTATAGCATCATTAGAAATAGAGAAAGCTGAATTGTTAACGACTGGTCAGTTATTAAATAAAGAAGGCAATCAAGACTTAACCAATAAAATATATGATTTACAAGAGGAGGTAGGACAGTTTCCTAAACTTTTGGGACTGTGATAAAATCCATATTTGCATCATTCCAATTTTCAGTCTGTGTCTCATACAATTCCATTTATCTAAGTGATATATGGCGATTTTAATGTCAAGTCCTTTTGCAATAGTGATTCAAATACGGGTTATGTCGAATGAATGGTGGCCTAACCTTCATCAGAGTGTGAAAGTTTCGTGACCTTGAATAAGTCATCTTATATACCTATTACATTATTCCTAACTGTAAATGGAAAAGGTCAATGTCAAGAGGTTTGGCTTAAGGTGAGCTGGTAGACAGGATCCTCATGAAACTAAGTTGTTAATCTAAAAAATATGCTTCTTTCTTTCTATATGACTCCATGAAGTACAATGCCAATACACGGCCAAGACAAGCTGAAAGACAGGGTCCCTGGTGAATCCAAGTTAAATTCTTGTAAAAAAAGTTGTTGCTTTGACACCAGAAAGTACAATATATATGATTTATTTCAGATTTTACAATTAAAGATGGCAGCGTCTGCTAAGAATTGTCCGATGATAAAGAGTTATATACCAGGTGATTCTGACGAGGAATTGGACGATGAAATAAAACAATCAAAAACTCTGAATCAAACTTTATCAGACATTATAGAGGGGATATCACCGGTGAAAAAAATACTTAACGGTGACCTAGAACATGGTGATGACGTGTCTTGTGAAAATGGTGATGTCGCGCTAAAAAACGGAAATTCTAGTTTAAGTGACTGTGCTAATAGTTCTGGTGTTTCAGACATTGAAAAGTTACAAGATTCCTCATTGGACAATTCAACAGGATCTAGTAAAGAATTAACCAATGAACATCAAGGTGAGAAAGAGTATAGGGATGATGAATATATATTAAAAGAAAGTACTGTTTGACAGGCCTCATCTTGTCATAATTTACATCATTGGTGCTAATTTTTTCTTGAACAGGGTTATAAAAAAGTCTTTTTGAAACTGTTAGTGCTCAATACCAATAAGTTATCATGTTATTCAGTTGTAAATCGTCAGGTCTCACACACAAAAATATAGGCTTTAATATACATAAGGTCAAAAATATACCCTCCTGGACTAGATATTTATAAAGACCATGGCTATTCTCACTGACAGTACAACATATGGCCATCCCTACCTTATTCAGGTCACATAATAACTTCCTTGGCAATCAAAATGGCTTCATGTTGGAGAAAAAAAAAATATCGCAGAGACAAGGAAACAATACATTGCCCATGCATAACACAAATGTAGCTCTACCATTGGCTGCTAACAAAAGGATGAAAAACAAAGACAATATTTGCTATAAAACGTGTATGAAAGAGTTCTAAAAGGAATAATGTCCATCTCTGAATTTAAAAAAACGTACATTTCTTTTGGATGTACATTGCTAAGATCTTAGATGAATGTACTAACAACAGCTTCTGATACAAATTGTATCAGATCAATGATTGCATGGATTCTATTGTTATGATTTGCAAGTTGCAAGATTTTTTTGAAAGTCTCTTTCCTTTACTTTCAAATTTCAGTCTTTTGAATCTATTGTGTTAATTGAGTGGTAAATGTTGTCCAATAACTGCTTGGTATGATTTTAACGCATGTTTTTTTTCTAATTTTCAGATGTGTGATTATTTGTGCATGAAGCATGACCTTCAACGTGAAATTATTTTGAGTACTCTACTGACTGTCATGTGCCAAAACCGTGCAATCATAAACAATGTTACAAAATCTGTGTCTAATTGAACCAATCATATGACTTGTTATATTTGAGTTATGGTATTTAGCAAACAAGAGAAACTGTGATTAACATTTGAAACTTTTATCATTTTAACACTATTTCAAGCTTTCAAGAATTGCTGCTTATACCTTGACTGAAATAGCGACCTTTCTTGTATCTCCTGATACAGGGGTTTTAATTGATTGCAAACTGTTTGGCTCAAACTCTGTTTGTCTGTTTGCTAATGCACAATCCAATCAAACCAAGAATGGTGGTTATTACAGTCAAGGTGTAAGATGAAGTATGTAATAGCTTGATATTGTGAAAATGCTATAAATATGTGATTGTTAAATTTTTATGCCACATTTTTATGAAATAATGTATAAATTATTTTTTATTTATTTAATTTTTGGTGCATTCATGAATATTTTTAAGTATATTTGTATATATTGTAATTATTCTTCTGTCTCTACATCTTTTTAACTAACAATAATACTTGTCTGCTTTTGGAACAGAAATTTCCTTTTTTAGATTTCACATTCAAAATTTTGTCATGTAAGGTTGATCTGCTGTTAAGAACTCAATATTTTGTAGGTTAATGGAATTCTACTGATGGCAGGTTAAAAACTGTACAGTAAGAGTTAAAATGACTGAGTGAGGGCACACAAACAGAATTTGATTGTACAATGTTCTTTCTCACTGGCAAACACTAGAGCACAAATATTGTCACTTAACATATTTGTGTTGATCAATGGAGGAACTTGACACATTTAAATGTCTGCATTATACCTTAGTAGAATTATTAAGGTCAACAGCTTGATATAAGGTATATTTAGGGACTATGTATATGATAGAAGATGTCTTGTAATAGTGTTGATATAATACATTATGTGATACAAGATTTGTTCAGTACAGTTGTAATAAAATACTTGAGTTTTATTCTATCAAATTTAAATTTTTTCTTACAAAAAAAAAAGAATGAAGCTGATAAATGAGAAAAAGAAAATTTGAAAGGTATCGAAAGAAAGAAAAGTTATCAGGTCACATTAAATAAAGTTTAAACTTTGATCAGTTCAAACTGAGTAAATATGGTAAATGATCTCTTAATAAGATTTGTCTTAATCTAAACCCCAAATTACAACATTATTAAAGTCACAAATTCATTATTTTATATCTTGTAGAATATTGAAACTATAAGAATTAGTATTAACAGTTCCTTTCCTCAATGTATAATTTCATTAAATGGAAAACAAATTCAGCCAAAATTGAGCATTTGAAATTATTTTTTTCTTACCCAACATTTGTAATATGACATTGATATGCTCTATTTTGGCAGATTAAGTTTTCCATATCAAGTTTACCTTATCTTATAACTGTTTATATTGATGTAAATTTGTATTTACTAAGTGAATAGAATACTCAGTTTTGTATGATATGTTTTAACTGTTAAAGATGGGTTTCCTCAATTCAGATCAGTTAAAATGAAAAAAATGAAATGAATGAAGTTTTACGTCCTACTTTTCTAGACCATGTAGACTGTTAACCAATGAAAATAAGAATCAGAACAAAGCACATGGTTTAGGCTGTACATGTACTTAATATGTCATCACAATATGGTGTATTATTTACATTGACAGATATGAAGGGGGTTTACATTATGCACACTTTATTTGCACTTATACAGTATAATTAATCTGAAATATGTAATAAAGGGGCATAACCCAGATTTCATGTGGGCTTTTGGAACATATTGATTAACGTGGCCTATACAGTAGAATAAATTGATATGTGAATGGTGTAAAGTATTAAATCTATTATCTGTGATGTACTGTAAAACTTAGTCTTGTCTTCCATGTAAACTACCAATACTGTTTTAATTATCTTGTTAATTAATTCTTCATTATCAATCTACGACTGGATAGAATACATTCTCAGCTTTACCTCCATTGTGATATAAGACCACCTGGAAGCAAGTATTTATCCCAGATATCCTCATATTCTAAGGAAATCTTGGTATAAGTTGATTGTTTAATTGGTTAAATAGTAAATTATGCAGAACAGGAGATGCATAACAACTTCTTCAGATCATGGATGGAAAGAGGAGAAAGTGGATGTATACTTCAAGACACATTAGATTTATAAAACTTTAAATGTAAGATGGGGCCTTATTCTCCAAAACTTAAATAAAATCTAGATTTTAAGAAATACAGTAATCTGATTGGATGATTGGATAACAAATCCAAAATTAAAATAATTGACCAATCAGGTGACTTGAACACTAATTTCATTTGAAGTTATGTTTTCAAGAATAAAGCTGAGAATGTCTATAGATCTACCCAATGTTACCAGATAAAACCTCTATATACTAAAAATACTGATAGACCTACCTCCTTGGTTATTGGTGCTTGCCTTGGGCAGCTGAGCCAATTTCTAACAAGAACAGGGTAATAGAGGGCATTATTTGAGTGGAAACTATTATTTTCAATAGTTATATAGTGTTTATTCTGATGGTCGATATACATTTTGAAATGAATTTAAATTTAGAATTTTAATAAATTAAGTTGATCAATATTAAGGTGCACTCACACTATAGTGATTACCAGTTATGTAAGCTTGCGATTAATAAAAGTAGTCCCAACCACAACTCACAACTCAGTTACATGAGAGTTGTGTTCGAAATCTATGACTGCTCTTCTCATTGGCAACCATATGCATCTACTGATCACTATGGTGTGAGGGCCACTTAAAGGGATAGGTTGACCATTCTTTTTGACAAATCATATTTTAGTCTCAGAAATAGGAATTTTTTAGTTAAGCCAATCAGTAATAATCTTCACAGCTCAACGTCGAAATTCAGCCTTCAAATCTATGTATGTCCAGAATTTTCCACGTTTGAATGTTATGATTTGTTATTTGAAGTATTTTTAAAGGAATCATGCTCTATTTCTGGTACTCCTGTAGACTATTTCTCAGAATGGCATCTGTCCCTTTAAGAATCATTTTTGGGTTTATTCATGAAGAGAAATTGCCTATCTTTGAAAGATGGTCATTTTAGTTACTTTAAGCATAACCTATCAATATTGAATTGAATCTTCTCAACAAAATAAGGAACAGTACAAACTAATTCTAAATATTGATATGAGTTGTATTTTTATCAGCATGGGCTGGCATGTAATTCAGCACTTGATTTCAATGCTTTCTGTCATTTTACTAACGCTGTATTTTTGTTCTTTCCTTTCTCACTGTGATATTGATATATAGATATTAAACTAACTTCACCAATTTATTTTATTACACTTCACCATCACATGTAAACCATTCTTCATATTACTTCTTTACTCTCTAATAGTCATAAGTTGACACCAAGACTATAGTGTTGTCACAAATTGACTCCCAGACTTTCGTGTTGTCACAAATTGACTCCCAGACTATAGTGTTTTCACAAATTGACACCCAGACTATAGTGTTGTCACAAATTGACTCCCAGACTATAGTGTTGTCACAAATTGACACCCAGACTATAGTGTTGTCACAAATAGACACCCAGACTATAGTGTTGTCACAAATTGACACCCAGACTTTCGTGTTGTCACAAATTGACTCCCAGACTATAGTGTTGTCACAAATTGACTCCCAGACTATAGTGTTGTCACAAATTGACTCCCAGACTATAGTGTTGTCACAAATTGACACCCAGACTATAGTGTTGTCACAAATAGACACCCAGACTATAGCGTTGTCACAAATTGACTCCCAGACTATAGTGTTGTCACAAATTGACACCCAGACTATAGTGTTGTCACAAATAGACACCCAGACTATAGTGTTGTCACAAATTGACACCCAGACTTTCGTGTTGTCACAAATTGACTCCCAGACTATAGTGTTGTCACAAATTGACTCCCAGACTATAGTGTTGTCACAAATTGACTCCCAGACTATAGTTTTGTTACAAATTGACTCCCAGATTATAGTGTTAAATAAATTAAAATGTACAAAAAGCACCGACCCAGACTAATCATGCATAAAGCTGGATATTTTTTCATTAATATTGCTGAAAGTAAACCTACATAGTATAGGTATTGTAAGAATTAGGCCCATCCATTTATTGCAGAAAAATCATTGGATTAATGAATATTTTTAGAAATATCTTGAGTAAATGTTTGGATTGAAACACAAAGAAGTTTGTACAAAAAATATTGATACAAACCGAATTATTTCTTGAAATATTTTTAAAATGATTTATATTACATGCATTATATTGATATAATAAATAGTAAGAAATGTGCCAACAATGTAAATTTAACTTAATTTCAGGATTTTTCATTTGAAAATTGAGTAGAAAATATTTTTAAACAGACCAAATTTTAATTTATAACAGGAACACTGATCATTTGTCCTGCTTCAATGTCATAAAATGAATACCTAAAGCTATGATAAATTTAAAGTAAATAATATATGTATTAGTTTTGTTTAAAATGTACTTAATACATTGTTTTTATTTAAATGTAAATAAATATATTATACAAGAATTGTGTTTTAATGATGGGATGGATTCAATAATGAATTTCTAGTATATTTGGGATGTTTATAGCTTACGCATTTCCATCTTCAATGTACAGCCCATAATGTTTACAGTTTTTCTGTGAAGGGCCCTGATTAGCTGTATTCTCTGGCATACAATCCAATCAAATTGTGCATTCTGTGATACAAATATAATCGCTTTTGAAGTCAAGGTATCAGTTCGTAACAGCTTGACATTTTGAAGATGTATTTCAAGCCTATGTCTTAGTTTCCAATGTTGATCACCAAAACAAAGCTAATCATTTTAATGTTTGATCTGATAGGATAAATCATGAATCATTTAGAAGAAGTGGAGACCTGTATTGATTGGATTTATTTAACTTGAACATCATTTGTTACATGTTCTAAAAATGTTCTCGTATAAAAGTTTGATACATTTGGTTTGAGTACTGTTTGAGATACCCAGTTTAATATATTTTTGATGATTGAGAGACCTCTTGCCAGGAGATTGGCAGCATTAATAAATCAGACACTGTTCTTAATTAAACCCATTAGACCGCAACAAACTGTTGGAATGCCAAGAATTTTCTCACTGTCAACTTTCTTGGATTTGAAATGACACTGCCATTTTGAAAAAAAAAATCCAGATAGCTTTGTAAAGAAGTCTCGTCTCAGAGTGATTCCGGACCACGAATCTTGAAATTTGATAGTAACAAAATGTTTCGCTTCTTCTGAAAGATTGGTAGAATAGAATTCACACTAAAACTGTTTTTCAAAAACTGTAAAATTGGATTATTGCTGTTACCTTAGTCGCAGTGAGGCGAGGGAAGGTATTTGCAAGATACTCCCTTTGTCGTCTGTGGCCCCTACTCGGTCCCTTCACCTAATGTTATATAAAATGCCACTGCCTAGTCGTACTTATCACCATGCACCGTGCAGTCTTCCAAAGTCTTGATAAGCAGGAACCGTGGCATTGGTTTATTGATTCGAGTTATTCCCACAGGTAAAGTTGAATTACCCATTTAGTCACGAAACATTTCATTTATTTACTATGTACTAAGACAGAATGTTCAGTTTGGATTGTTTATTTAGATTTGTTATATCAAACAATACAGATCATGAAAATTAATTTGTGTGATAAAGTGTAAAAGACGATCTGAACACGTAATTTAAGGATTAAAGTTTGTTGGCTGTAGATGACAATTTAACCTCAGCTTCTAGTTAAATCTGATATCACAGACTATTGACTTTTAAATTTAAAAAAAAAATTCTCCATGTATTTATATTAAGCAGTGGACTCGGAATTTAGGATAGAGGAATATCATCTTGAAAACTACGTGTATTGCATATGTTGGAGTTTCAGAAAAGTCAATTCCTTTCTCTGATCATTCAAGACGCACGTGTTGAAGACAAATTAAAACTGTTGGTTGGATTTCAATCGTTAATATGTGATGTTATAAAGGATGGAGAAGTACATGACGAGGATTAAATCATCCCAATATCAAACAGATATTGCTAAACATTTACATAAAACTGAGAAGGAGAATGAGAGAAGAGAAAACTTCAAAGTTTCATTGGAAAGTTTATGGAAGTCAGTGGATTCGGAGAGGTCAGTGAAAAAGACAAATTTTACCATCCCGGCTAATTTTGAAAGAGATAACAACCAGTCGACTAATAGAGTTTCTCAAGAAGTTGAAGCAGGTTTCCGAGATTACGTAACTCAAATACAATATGTGCGGACCTCAAATGATCTCACACATCGAACGACCTTGTCATATCGGCATTATACAGACAATTTAAACCAGGTAGATATGTCAAAATTGGAACAAAACGAAAATAATTTGGCAAGCAGCATCACCGCTAAAATTGATTTTAAAGAGTATTCGGATCATAAACAAGAAGTTAAAAGGACAACAAATAACCTATTACCTGATATAGGGGACAGACGAAAGTCATTAAGAAGAAAAACCAACTTTTGCTACCCAAAAGATTTCCGACTACCGAGTTTAGGGTCCCAAGATCCATCCTCTGCCAACAACCAACATCACGAATCTTTCACCAGACGTATCGATATCACCATCAAATCGCAACCGATTTTAAAAGACAAAAGACGCTTGTCTGTGGGCACCAAACGTCCAGAGGAAATGAAGGATGTCAAGGCAAAACCAATGACTAAAACTGTGAAACAGGCATCAAATAAAACTCAAGTTACATCATCCGTTACGACTGACAGTGAAGATACTCATCAAGTTCCAGTTATAAAGGTTTCAGTGACAATAGGAGCTAACAAGGGCCCTGGTGACCCAAAGAACACATTTTCAGACAAAAATGATACTATTTCGACACCATCAGAAGCTACCGCTGTATCACCTAAATTGTATGAACCATTTGGATCAGATGGTCAATGTATTGAATTTGTACGAGGTAGACGTGGTCTCTCCACGCCTCCCAGACCTCAAGTAAGTTTGATCAAGATCATAGAAGACAGGAAACCAACGGGTGAGCTTGTCCCTACTGTGATTCCTATTTCAACGAAAGAACTAAAGAAAAGCAGTGCAACTAGTGAAACAGCAGAGGTCAAATTTCTAAATGATAAACACGAACATAAAGTGACTTGTGAATCAAAGTCAGTCAAATTAAGTGATACGCAATTACACACCAATGTACACTCCATCGGAGAAGGTTTTGACTCAAGTAAGTGTGATATGACCGTTAATCAGAGATCAATTCAAAATCACGAACATGAGGACGAAGACCAGAATAGTCCAAAAGAACTCAGTAAGATAACACAAACCGAAAGGTTGTCAAACCCTTCAATTTCGTTACAAAGCTATGATGGTTCTTTTGGAGTAAGCAAGAACACGACCGTAATCGATGGCGAAACTTCAGATATCGAACCAGTTGATGGTCCGACAGATGATGAACACCTCGTGGCTGGAATCTTGGAAACAACGGCCATTAAGATTCACAAGAGTTCATTATTAGGTATACCGAAGTTACAATATGATCGTTCATCGGATTCTGGACTATCTAAATCTCCATTTTCATCTGAAGGTGTTTTGACTCCATCTATGAACTCTGAGATTTTGACAGCGTACCAGCGAGAACGACTGGCGTGTATTTGGAGAAACCGGTCAAACATGGGGGACATTAACCACTCCTCAGGGTACATACCGCATAGTGATAAGACATTGAAAGAGACAAAATCACCCGCTAGAACACCCAGAATCTCTAAACAATCACCAAGACTAACAGATTGTGCAGTTCAACAGTTTCCTTTGAGAGAAAACCTGATCACGGCTATTTCACAAGATCACGAGTACGCTTCTTACAAGCGGCATCTAGGTCAAGTGATTAGGAGGGACGAACACTCTAATCCAGTTTATGGACTAAATCCATTGTATCCAGGTGCGTCTTTTGATGAATATGAGCGATCTGATGGTGGTAACGACAACCTGAGAGACGACTTTAGGAAACTGGAAGTTGTAGCATGTGTTAATGTTGGTTCTGTGTAAGTATTCATTAATGCATAGCACTCTTGTGCTGATATCACCTAAAGAAATGTATGTAATGGCGGCGCTCCTCCTGGAACATAGGGTACAACCACGGTGGTTCCTTTGGAAGACTTTTGTGCCGATAGGAGTGGGCTATGTCTTCCACCCAAGACCATACAATCATACTTTCACCAACACGATCTGTGCATACAGCTGCGACTGGTTAAAGGGTTTAGCTTTACCCCAAAAATTCAGGTTGTATTTCAACCTAAGTTGAAATGAAGTAAAGTTAATAAATATCATTTTCTTCAGAAATCTGAAGAAAGTTGATGAAAAGTCCAAGCCGATTATCAGCCTGCCAAAAGTCCGTTGGAAAAAAGATGCTTCCCGGTAAGTGTTAGATTTATTTTATGTATTTAAGAATTGAGAGTGCTGTCGAGGAAAGGAATAATAAATCAAAGATTCCTTATTTACTCTCCGAAAAGAGCGCTAAGTTAAAAAAAAAAAGAAATGAAAAAAATTAGGCTTATTGGATTGCTATTCTAAGATATTTCAAATTGATCTTGAACGTTTTAAGAGATGGCCGAGTCCCATAAAAATCTAAAAGCTCCAACACTGTTACAGGTTAAACAGTTATCGTATTTAATAGTGTCAGTAGTAAATAATACATTATAATCAATGACTATAAGGATTGTTATAATATAAATAATAAATTAGTAATTGCCAGATACATTCCAGATAGGGGTCAATAATAACAACTTGACTAAATACCATTAGGAAGTGAAAGTCGACACCGAGCCGACTCTTTGATGCACTGGCACAGGCATCGAAATTTTTCTTACCTTGAGGAGGATTAGAAACCACGGCACCCCATGGCCTAGCAGACGACATTCCAACTCACTACCAACTGAGCTATTCCACTGCCACAAAAGAACAATGTTCCTACCCATCGTTAAAGGGAATGAGTGTCATTCTATGGCAATATCTGCGAAGTGCAAAAATTCCAGAATGCCTATAAACCTATTTATATTTTCAACCTGTTTCTATTGCGTTATTATTTTATATCTTTTCGTAGAAACGTTACGTTTTCGTTAAAAAATATACACAATAAAAAAAAATCTCAAGTTAAAAGGTTTTTACCATCAAGCCCCAGAGCTATATTCCTTTACGAAGTTCTCTCTTTTTTCTCCACTCATTATCTTTTAATAAGAGATCTAAAATTCAAACTTATTTCGACAAACAAACACAACTAAGGTTCTGTATTCCCACTAGAATAGACAAATGGTACCTTTATTGCCTTTTCTCACACACACCTTGTTGCAATTCTGTCAATGACCTCAAACGTCAAGTTAAGAAAACTTTACTGTATTAATGTTAAGTATCATTCAATTAACAAAATTAAAATCAAACAAACTGAACAATAATATCAAGTAATTTTACAATATAAAATCAAGTAACATTACAATATAAAGTCAAGTAACATTACAATATAAAGTCAAGTAACATTACAATATAAAATCAAGTAATATTAAAATATAAAGTCAAGTAACATAAAAATATAAAGTCAAGTAACATAACAATATAAAATCAAGTAACATTACAATATAAAGTCAAGTAACATAACAATATAAAGTCAAGTAACATTACAATATAAAGTCAAGTAACATTACAATATAAAGTCAAGTAACATTACAATATAAAGTCAAGTAACATTACAATATAAAGTCAAGTAACATAACAATATAAAATCAAGTAACATTACAATATAACGTCAAGTAACATAACAATATAAAGTCAAGTAACTTCACAATGTAAATTCAAGTAACATTACAATATAAAGTCAAGTAACATAACAATATAAAGTCAAGTAACTTCACAATGTAAATTCAAGTAACATTACAATATAACGTCAAGTAACATAACAATATAAAGTCAAGTAACTTCACAATGTAAATTCAAGTAACATTACAATATAAGGTCAAGTAACATTACAATACAAAGTCAAGTAACATTACAATACAAAGTCAAGTAACATAAAATATAAAATCAAGTAACATTACAATATAAAGTCAAGTAACATTACAATATAAAGTCAAGTAACATTACAATATAAAGTCAAGTAACATTACAATATAAAGTCAAGTAACATTACAATACAAAGTCAAGTAACATTAAAATATAAAGTCAAGTAACATAAAAATATAAAGTCAAGTAACATTACAATATAAAGTCAAGTAACATTACAATATAAAGTCAAGTAACACTACAATATAAAGTCAAGTAACATAACAATATAAAATCAAGTAACATTACAATATAAAGTCAAGTAACATAACAATATAAAATCAAGTAACATTACAATATAAAGTCAAGTAACATAACAATATAAAGTCAAGTAACATTACAATATAAAGTCAAGTAACATAACAATATAAAGTCAAGTAACATAACAATATAAAATCAAGTAACATTAAAATATAAAGTCAAGTAACATAACAATATAAAATCAAGTAACATTACAATATAAAGTCAAGTAACATTACAATATAAAGTCAAGTAACATTACAATATAAAATCAAGTAATATTAAAATATAAAGTCAAGTAACATAAAAATATAAAGTCAAGTAACATTACAATATAAAGTCAAGTAACATTACAATATAAAGTCAAGTAACATTACAATATAAAGCCAAGTAACATAACAATATAAAATCAAGTAACATAACAATATAAAATCAAGTAACATACAATATAAAGTCAAGTAACATAACAATATAAAGTCAAGTAACATTACAATATAAAGTC